TAGGCCTTGGAGAGGAGTGAACTGATTTTTAATCTACAGCTTCTGTGAGTGATATTTGCTTTGTGTCCTATCACCCTTCTATTCAGCCGTTCTCCCCTTCCAAGCAGGTAAACCTCTGCTTAGAAGAAATTGTTCCTTCTGCTGAGCCTCGGTGCAGTTGACAGCTGTCATATACAAGCACTGTACTTGAATATGTGTCTTTAGAGCTAGGCAGTCTTAAAGAGCTTTAATCTTTTCTGTTTGCACATGCAGGGAATGCCTAGGAGCCAGAGACCCCTATTGCGGCTGGGATAATAAGCAGAAGCGATGCACCACCATTGAGGACAGCTCCAACATGAGCCTGTGGACTCAAAATATTACTGAGTGCCCAGTAAGTGGAAGGAGTGGAAATATTTTAAATGTAGCGGTGTGTGAGTGTGAGCGTGTGTGTGTGGAGAAGGGAGAAGGGAATTGAGTGTGTGGCAGCCTGATGCAGACTGGCTGTTGGGAGAGCATGGAGAGCCCAGTGGTGCACACTAGTATCTGTGCACAGCCTCTTATTTAGAACACAGAGACCCCAGATGTATTTCTTTGCTGCAGAAGAGGGATCCCAAAGCAAGCATTCAGGCCTGCTCATGCCCACCCATGCCTTGAGTGAAGGAGATTGGATTGTGCTGATGACTTACTGCTGAGAACCATGTAAGCCCCAGATGAAACTTAAGCCTTCTTCTGGGCAGCTCCAGTGTCTGCACCGTTTCCTTGGCTTCCCTGCAGGTCGGGGAAATCAGAATGGCTGACTGCAGTGTCCTCAGGCAGCATTCAGTCGGTTGTCTTGTTGGATCCCTGAGCTAGGCCCAGGAGACAACGCTGGTCCAGAAGTGTTGCACCGGCAGGAAGAGGCATCTAGAGAGGAGCAGAAAACAAGACATGCATGGACGGTTTGCAGAGGGAACGAAAAAGATACAGTGTGTAGAAGAGGACACAAGGGCAGAGGAGAGTGTAGTCAAGAGAGGGTGTATGAGAGTGTTGGGTTCTAACCTCACTTTAGCAGACCAAAGACCAAATCTATGTGATATTGCAAGGAGATGGTCTTCTTGGTCTTCTTGACTGATAGGACAAAGGGAAATGGATTTAAGTTGAAGGAGAAGAGATTTAGATTAGATCTTAGGAAGAAATTCTTCAGTACGAGGGTGGTGAGACTTTGGAATAGATTCGTGGATGCCCCCTCCCTGGAGGTGTTCAAGGCCAGGTTGGACGAAGCCTTGAGTAGCCTGATCTAGTTGAGAGGTGTCCCTGCCCATGACAGGGAGGTTGGATTAAATGATCTCTAAGGTCCCTTCCAGCCTATGCCATTCTATGATTCTATGATTCTGTGATTCTTTTCTTGCCCTTGTCTTCATGAGATGCAGCAGTTTAAAAAAAAAAAATGTATCTGCTTGAATCAGTTTGAGTCGGCTCTCCAGCTCCTTCCCACCCACCCTCCTCTGATGACAATATCCACTTCCTGGCTGTGATCCCCAGAAGCTATCCGGCCAAATTTCATTCCTATTGCTTGAACCATACCTGCAAGGTGGCTGGGGAGGAAAACCAGCCTTCTTAAGTAGACTGGGGGCGGGGGGCAGAAATTCTCATTAATGTCTGTCGTTATTATCTAGCATCAATTAGCATGTTAATACTGCTAAGTCCAGTAGATAGAGAAAGAGGACTGGATGGGTTATATCTTCAGTATGCTATTTCTGTCCGGAGGTGCTGGGATGTTTATTCCCCTTATCTTCCTTACTTCTCAGATATTTTCCCAGGAAATACTAGTCATTACTTCAATCCATCCTCAGCTTGGCAGGCTTAAGTTTTTCACTGCTGGATTCAGAGGCTTGTGTGTTTATAACCCTCCTCTGTTGAACTGGGATGCAGTGCTTCTTGATTGCCCATGCTGTTATCTCGTCCTGCTTAATGCCTGTGTCTGTTGATAGGTGTGTGAGGTGTTAATCCTCTAGTTTGAACATGTCTTCTGTGGTGCGCACTAGGGAACAGGCTACTGCAGATCATTGTTTCAAGGTCATGAAAATCTAGCATAGAATATTCAAGAGCTTTGGATGTTCTTGGGGTGCTAGTTTTACATTTGTTTTAGCATTTCCATTGGAGATTATTTTCCTTTTAGGTGCTCTCATTCTAGTGCACATGGCTGCCTTGTGCTCTTAGCCTGATGGGCTGCCAAGCTGTTTAAAACCCACGTGCAAGTGCTGTCTTTTTGTTTCTCCTCTGCCCTTCGCTGGAATGAATTCACCTCTGGCATGGGGTGGGATGGCTCTTTTAAGCACCTACATCTGCAATATCCAAGGATGGATATTTGGTGGACGAGAAGCTCAATATGAGCCGGCAATGTGCTCTTGCGGCCCAGAAGGCCAACCGCATCCTGGGCTGCATCAAGAGGAGCGTGGCCAGCAGGTCGAGGGAGGTGATCCTCCCCCTCTACTCTGCCCTCGTGAGACCTCACTTGGAGTATTGCATCCAGTTCTGGAGTCCCCAACATAAGAAAGACATGGACCAGTTGGAGAGGGTCCAGAGGAGGGCCACGAAGATGATAAGAGGGCTGGAGCACCTTTCCTATGAGGACAGGCTGAAAGAGTTGGGGCTGTTCAGCCTGGAGAAGAGGAGACTCCGGGGTAACCTTATAGCGGTCTTCCAGTACCTCAAGGGGGCCTACAAGAAAGATGGGGAGAGGCTGTTCAGGAGGGCCAGTTGTGATAGGACAAGGGGTAATGGTTTTAAAATAGAGGGAGGTAGATTCAGGTTGGATATTAAGAAAAAATTTTTTACCATGAGAGTTGTAGAACACTGGAACAAGTTGCCCAGAGAGGTGGTGGATGCTCCATCCCTGGAGACATTCAAGGCCAGGTTGGATGAGGCTCTGAGCAACCTGATCTAGTTGGAGATATCCCTGTTCCTTGCAGGGGGGTTGGACTAGATGACCTTTGAAGGTCCCTTCCAGCCCTAACCATTCTATGATTCTATGATGTTCCTTACGTTCAGTGCAGGATAAAGGTCGCGGGCAACAGAAGCAAGAGTCTAGGGCAGCATGTGCAAATGACTGCTGGAAAGGTAGGGGAACGCAGTGGCGTGATGTCAAATTTCACTCTTCAAAAAGGCCTCCCTGGGAGTTTAGTTGGATGAGTTACTGTCTTCAGAAGTCTTGGCTTTTCTCACCCCACTTTCCTGGGCTGAGCACCAGGCGCTCAGCTGTGCTGTACAGCTGTACGTGAGATCACACTCAAGTGTGACGAGGCGTAGGTTAAAAGCACCCCTCCCAAATAAGCCTTTCCTAACCCAGATCATGTCAGTGACTTCTTCTGCAGCCTAGCCCACAAACAGATGTCCTGGCACAGCCGAGAAACTGGCACGCAGCAACTTTTAAAGCCAAAGCTGGCATATTATTGAATTATATCTTACAGGGGCCAGGCATTTGTGTGAGTCAACCGCAACACTAACACAACTTGACTGCTGCTCTTGTGCAAACATGCTTGTTCAGAGCTAGTCTGAACATTTTTGTACATCACCACATTGTACCACAGGTTCCCACTCTCCAGCTTTAATATTAAGAGACTTCAGATATAGAGTTAGTCACACAGTGTTAACATAGTACCGTGGGCAATGGTTAATATATGTTATTAGCAGGTAACACCCAAAATCTCCTACAGGTTTGTTGCTAAGGTTGTGATGTCAAACGTTTTAATATTAAGAAATGATAGGACACAAATTTCCCATGCTGCTCTTCTTTTCCCTGTGTGTGCACATGTCATATCAGGGAGTCCTGAGTACATGAGTGCATGCTGTTTGTTCTTAGGCTTGAGAGAAGAAAGCGAAGTGCTTTTTGGTATTGGGAAGACTGAAAAAAAAGCCACATCCTACTTTATGATATCCTACTGATGCCAACACAAGCCACCAGCAGGAAAGGAACTTCAGATTTGGCTAACAAACTCCATTAGCCAAGCTCATGGGGTTACTGTTGATGATGGTTGGCAAGTCAGGAATTGAGTATTCCCAATGAAGTGTACAGTCCTTATCCCAAGCCAAATGATGTTCTTCCTCACAGGTTTTCATCCCAGTCCCACTCTGTGTGTCCAAAAAACCCCTGTCTCAGTCATCTGGCATCCGCTCCATGCTACTCCATTTTCTTGCAAATCAGTGCCGGTTTCCCCACTCCTTTTTTGGGATGTCTAGCAGACTTGTACCCTTCTCTTAGTTCATGTGGGCCCAGCTACTCAGAGCTGCAGGATCTGGAATAATCCTGCTCTGGCCCACACTGGAGCATGCCCAGTGCACAGAGAGGACTTCAGGTGCCAAGATAAAAATCTGTGAGTCCCTGAAAGCTGGGAATTTTCCTTCTCACATCCCAAGGATTTTATACCCTAGACAGATCTGAATTGCTTTTCATTGAAATTGTGAACGACGATATAAAGTTCAGTTCCTTGCTCTGAACACTAGCTCGTTTCAAGGAAAATGTTGCTACTTATGAACATTCTTTCTCCCTAGGTTTGGGTTTAGAAATGTTTGCAATATTTTAACTGAAGCTTTGCAAGTATTTTCAGCTTCTGTCAGACACCCAACATGGAAACCTCCAGCTGAAATAACTGAAGCTTGGCAAAGTTATAAACAGTTGACATCTAAATCCTAAGCGGAAGCATAGATGAATCGAAAGAACAAGGAATGCTTCTAGCCTTATCTGTAAAATCAGAATAAACATTGAAAATATCCTGGCAGCAGGGGGTAGGAACGGTCAGTCTGAATTTTTCAATCCTATTCTTGAGTGTTTAGACGGTACAAGGAAGAAATGAAAAGGTGATGCCTTTGGAGGGAGTATGGCAGTTTACAAAATATGAGAATTCCGGAACTGGTGATATTGTCAAGTGAGAGAAGGGCATTTGATCACAGATGTTTTTAAAGATGTCATCTCTGATGGGCACTTTGTTAACCTTATAAAGATATTCCTGAAAAAGATCAATGCATGTGGGTTTTCATCCCGCTTCCCAAGTTTGTGCTTTTGAAGATATTTTTATGAATTTAAAGATGGAGTAATAATCCATATGTAATTTCTTAAGTATAAAAACTTCCCACACTCACAACGTGACATGTTTATAAATCTCAGCATCTCAGTTATGGCCGCTTATTTATTTAATTTTTGGGTTGCTTCCCAGTATCACTCAGGAGCCAATAATTATTTGTCGGCTTTTTTTTTTTTTTTAATTGAAGCCACGGGCCATATCATATACCATTGATTTCTGAACAGAACTCCCTGCTGGAATCGGCAAGGTTTTCTGGCTCAAAAATGAATAGGAATGATCCAATACTTGGATTATGACTTTTGTAAGGCAGGAGGAAAAAGGAGATAAAAATCTAGTATTAAATATCTCAAAGTAGTTCTTCTGATTTTTTTTTTCCCCTTGACTTCTAGCAACCCAACTGTATTGATTTTTGACTGCATGCATGTTTGAAACAACAAATTCAACAAGAGCAACAAAAGTCAGCGTTCTCTTCTCTGGGCATCTTGCCTTGTAACCTGCAGCCCAGAGCAAATTTTTATGACGACATGGTAATCTATTGCAAACAAAGGTTTACAACAGATGCTTGAAACCCCCTGGCTACAGCCCGATGAGCGCGGTAACAGATCTAAATTACTTCCATGCCACTGCTGCATATTTTTGATGCTGCTATAGATGGATGAGAGGGGAAGATGACAGCCCACCAGAGGTGCATTGTGAGTGTTGAACATAGTGCCAGACTTCGAAAATAAGCACAGAGCAGTGTGTTTCAGAGGATGAGTGTTTGAAAGCACTACTGCTGTGGCTGTGGTTGGCCACTTGCGTGGCTTCTGAGCAGGCTTCCAGCCCCTCCGTGCCTCGATGTCCTTATCTGTAAAGCAGGAGAAATCATTTTCCCCCTGGGGTGGCCCTGCTGACTGCAGAGCTCAGTGAAGCATGGCACAATGGGGTTTGTCGGCGGTGGCTGGCTCAGATTTGGGGCCAGGACTGTCCAGCAGAGCCCCAGCCTCTTCCTTTCTTCATTGTGTGCCAAACCGAGGCCAAGTCCAGCGTTGCCTTTGTCAGTGGTTTTACTGAAGCTGCTGAGCATCCCACCACCCCACAGGTGACACTGGTAAGGACAAGCCACTATCTGTGCCATCCCACCTGCGACACCCAGCACTTTGGGGTGGGGAGGACGGAAGGAGCCACCGTGGAAGAGTGCGTCATGGTGCTGTGCTGCAGCAAGGAGATGGCTGTACCTCAGCAGGACCAGTGCGGGTGTCCTTCTGCCTCATGTTTCCGAAGTCGGGAGCAGAGGGGAAGCCAAGGCAGGGGGATTCAGGGCAGCCTCCCAGACATGGTCCTGCTGGAGGTGCTGGATTTTGCAGAAGTGGTGGAGTGGGCATGAGAAGCCAGCGGCAGCCTGGGAGCGATCCTGGGAGGAGCAGGTAGCACTCAGCATCTCAAAGTCATGGAGGACCTCAGCAGCTTGCTCCCCTGGCCCTTGGCTTAGGGCTTACCTAGCAGCACCAGTTAAAACAGGCATAGCTCTGACATCCTGTCTCCTGGGAGGTCTTCACCAAACCTGAGATGAAATAGTTCTGTTTCTCCCGCTTTTGGTCTGCCAGCACTGCCATATTTTTACTTCTTCGTTGCAGTGCACAGGAAGCTCAAGCCCCAGCCTGTTCGGGGCTTTACAGGCATGAAGCAAAGGGCAGAGGAAACAGATAGCAGTGTGGTCCTGTCTATAAATTGCCTTGAGGTGAATTCTTGCTCTTTAGCCCACTGTGTGATCCTCAGCATTAATTCTAGTCACCACCATCTCCTTTACTGTCTATCCTTCACCCAGCTTAGCTGTTTAGGCTACAGCTCTGTTTAGAAAGGAAGCCAGTTCTTACTGCATCTTTGGACAGGGCCAAACTCAGCTGGTCACTATGGTTATACAAACGCTAACTCGGAAAATACTCTGCAGGAACGGTCCCAAGCACCATGGAGTCAGGAGCATAACGGAGTGGGGACAGTCAGCACCAGCCCTTGTGTTGCTTGAAAGGCTGAAGCTGTGCAGTGTGGGAGGAGGGAGCACGGTGGTTTTGTGGTGTGGCAGATGGGTGCTTGTGCCTGGCGTGGTGCTGGCTGGGTCGGCTCGGGCGCCTGTGCGCACACGTTAGGTATGTGGGGTGGAATTTGGAGGGTAAATATTGATGCGGCATTGTCTGAAAACAACCCTCTGTTTTGAATCCTGCTCACAAGCACAGACAGCTCCCATGTAAGCTGCATCCTAATCCCCCTGGCAGCTTTGTTTGGCATTTCTATTGTGGGACTGTCTCCAGAGATGTAAACTTGCTATTAATGACCTTTTTTATTTTGAAATTAGGTGAAAAACCTGACAACAAATGGAAGACTGGGGCCTTGGTCCCCATGGCAACTGTGTGAGCATTCGGATGGGGACAGCACAGGCTCCTGTGTGTGTAGGTCACGTTCATGTGACAGCCCTCCTCCTCGCTGCGGAGGTCGCAGCTGTGAAGGAGCCAGGATTGAGGTCGCAAATTGCTCAAGGTACCTCAGCATCTTTGTGCTTTTTGGGAAGGGAACAAGAGTTGTGCCTGTCCACAGCTTAGCTCCTTCCTTGTGTTTCTGTGGCCGTGTTGTTGTATCCCAGCCAAACTGAGGTATGTGAGGTCCAGTGTGGAGTCAGGAAAAAATGAAGGAACCCAAGGGCTCTGCAAGAAGGGCCTTCCTTCAGCCAGGGCTCTTGGAAGACGAGCACCCCGAATTTGTGCACACATTAATCTTCCTTACACTGTGCCTCAGTTTCCCTCAACTGTATAGTGAGTAGTGACCCATCAAGAGGAGATGAGTAAGGCAGAGGTAGTTGTTAGCCAACTGAATGCAATAAGCAAAAAAATTCCAGTAAGCTCATCATTTTTCAGAGTTTGGATTTTGAGGTTGCATTGTCAAAAGCAAGCAGAGCTCCTTCAGAGCAACGCTTGTAAAGACATGGCCTAGCCTAGCTCCGAGCAAGACTTGTTCGCCTTGTTCTGCAAGTCTGTGAACTGTCGGCAGCACGCTGGCTAGCTGAAGGCTACAGATCATCGTCTGGCAGCGAGCGGCCCTGAGGAGGCATGCCTGCCGGGGGCAGCGCTTAAACACGCGTGTAGCTCAGCTGGTGTCGAAGTGCTGCCTTTCCAGGGAAGCCTGAAACTCGTGCTCGAGCAGCGTGGAAGCTAAATGTCCTCCAGTCGAGTGCCCAAATGTAGCTATAGTGTTTGTGTCCGTGTTACCCCACCACCCTCAGACTACATCATAGCATGAGTCAAGGAAAGGCGATGCAATAGTGTAAGCACTACTTAACCAGGGTGGAGCCAGCCAATATTTTGGTGAATATTGGTGAATATATGGGTCGATACCGTTTTTATCTACTTCATCTTCCCCATAAATGTTCGTTCCATTAAGGACAGCTGCCTCTTGACTCCTCCCTGGAGACCAGTGCTGGTCTTGGCACCAAAAATTCAGCAATACTCATGTTTTAATTGGCATCTCTCCTTCCAGTTGTGGGCTGTGCTGCCCAAAAGGCATGCAGTCATTCCTGCCCCTGTGCTGCCACCGTGAGCTGAGTGGAGCCTTCCCCAGGCAGGCTCTATTTGTCAGTGGCAAATGGAAAGCGTGCCAGTGGGATGGGTTTCTCAGCACTGCTCTGATGGCCAAAGAGGCAGGAACAGCTTCTAAGAAGGGGATGAAAAATAGATTATTCAATCTTAAGACATAGGAAAACAGCATGGTTTGAAAAATAGGGACATCTGGTCATCCTACATCCGCCTCAGCCCTCAAATTTCCTTTAATTGACTTCATATGGCATCGAGATTTCTTTTTGTAAAGAGGGAGCAGGATGCTTGAAGATGAGTTCTGTTAGAAAGCTGAAGATCTGAAAATGGAAGGTGTCTTTATTTCTGCTCAAAATCCTGAAACACAAATAGATGCTGAGAATTGTTGGGTTTTTGAGGAATTTTTGGTGGAAATTATTTTCCCTTTTTTGCTACAATAGCAGCAATCTTCCATTTGATTTTTTCTTTTTGTGATTTTACATATAATCTTTCTTTTGGGTTAAGGAGTGGAGAGGTAGTAGGTGAGTTAAAACATGGCAGAAGAAGATGGAATAGTAGGATTTTTATATAAGTGAGTTTCTTGTTCTTTGACCTTTTTTGGGGCGGGAGAGGGGAAGAGAAGGAGGGAGAGAAATGAGAGAACAAGAGAAGGAGGGGAGAAATATCTAACAGGGTTCTGAAATAAAGCTGCCAAAACCGGGCAAGAGTTGATAACAAATACAAAAACTGTGAAGGGCAACGTGGGCTTTAACTTTCATCCTCTGCCCTGATTGGTGCTGTGCCAGAAAATATTTCTTGCCAGCAGTGTTATTAGTTCAGTAAATGCTTTGAAAATTAACATCTGTTTTCAAGCTTAGCTTTCAAGAACCAGAGAGCACCTGAGTTGTTTTTGACTAGACTTTTTAGAAAGGTTTTTCTTTATAAAAACAACCAAAAAACAAATGAGTTTTTTGGCTTAAGGCAGTGAAGTGTCAAAATTAGACAGTTCTATAAGACAGAGCATTGCCACTGGCTCCAGACAGAATGAAACCTGCAGCACAGAAGAGATGAGATACTGCTCCTCCTCTCCTGCTCCAAGGTTTAGTAGTGCTGCCAAATCAGAGGAAGGTGAGCTTTAATAAATGCAAGGTTTCGAAGGTGAAAATGTTGGCTTCTGTGTAAGCACGCGGTTGAGTTGCCGCATGGCGGCAGCGTGGCAGGAGCTGGCTGCCTGCACGCGCTTGGGCTGTCGCAGGAGCGAAGCATGGAGCGGTCGCCGACATCTCTGTCGCTGTGGTGTGAACTGGGGGAGTTTACATCACGTTTGCTTCAGGCTGAGTTGCCACTGCTCCGCCGAGATGTGATCGCTCAGTAAACCGTGAAACTCGATCCTGCCTCTGAGCTCTTAATTGCCTTCTGGTTTCTACAGATTTAAGGTCACACTACAGTGACGGCTGCAGGCGGCCATGAAAACTAGAAGCAATTATTGTTATTTTTAATGAAATTTGAGATTTCCACTTAATAGGATTCAATGCTGAAGGCTTTAGGAAAACACCAAATATTAGAAGGTTTGTGATAAAACCATGGGAGCTGGCAGTGGTATTGCTGTAAGAGATTTAAAGCATCAGTACCTACTGAATTAGCAGAGGATAGGGTTTTTTACATCCTTTGGCACAATTGGCATTCATGAGCCTCAAAACCTGCACTCTTTGTGCAGAAAAGTCCAGGAGATACAACTTTGGGATCAGCCATTGACTCAAAAGAGGAGGTTGTAAGACAAGGGGGAGATAATTGGGGAATAGTCAGTGAGAGTTAAAGCAACCACACTGTTGCCCAGCAAATCCTAGGAGGCATTTTTAAAATCATTCGGCATTGGCTTCATTATCTTCCTTTCCAATTCTTAGAGACTTCAATGGGAGGAAAATTAGGCCAATGCTAAGCACTTTCAAAACTCCTTTTTCTAGACATTTGCTGATGTAAAATCTGGTTGAGATGAATGATCTCTTCTACAATGAGTTCAACGATTCCTCCCTCAGTGCCTTATGTGTTTTGTTGTTAAGTGGGCAGACCATTAGGTCACCCTCATGCTCCGTTCTTTCTCACCTCCTTTGTTAGAAACGGCGCTTGGACACCCTGGTCTTCCTGGGCCCCATGTAGCACCTCCTGCGGGATTGGCTTTCAGGTCCGCCAGCGATCCTGCAGCAACCCTGCTCCACGGTACGGAGGCAGGGTCTGTGTTGGACAGAGCAGGGAAGAAAGGTAAGAGACGTCCACAATGCCATATGTTCACTTCCATGGTTATAATGTTGGCAGCTGGAAGTGGTGGCTCTTATATGAATGCAGATTAAGGCTGTTTGGCTTAATGCACAAAGCGGAAGGAATTCCAGATCCTGGGAGGGATAAGGTTGCTCACATGCATGGCTACTCTCTTTCAATGAGCCTGTGTCCATCAGAGACTTCAGAGCTGCTTTCCCTCTCAAGCAGGACCTTTCAGACCTTCACAAGTATTCCTGTCTACCAAACAGAGGGCTTGAGCTCTTCAACGAAAGGAGAAGCTGTGCCTGCTATTAGCAGTGTAGAGTTTATAGATACAGTTACACTGTTCTGATCCATCCCTGAGGAAGCAGTTGAGTATGTGCAGCTTCCATTGCCAATTGCACCATTCCTAAGTCTCTATTAATTGTGCTGATGCACCAAAAGTAGTTCAGACAAAATACAGCTGAACTCACAGATTCAGAGTTGAGTTTTTGCAGGGCTTGTCATCAGAAAAACATCGTTTTTTCCCCTCTAAACTAAGCAAATTTAATGCAAAATCACTAAAAGACAATACGTTTTGAACCCACAGAGCCATCTGCACTATTACGCTTCTTCAGGTCTGGCCCCTCATTAAATGCATGCTTCAAGGCATCCCAGTTTGGTTTCCAGATTTGACATTTCATTAAAGGCTGCCTCTGCTTGGCAGTAGGCTGTTGTCCCTTGAGTGGTCACTTAAGACAGATCTCTGCATTTCTCGGAATACAAAGGGCAATTCATTTAACTTCCTTGATTCAGGGCATTTTAATGTTTGGTTTGATTTGTGGCCATTCAGAATGGTCCTTTTTGGGTTTTAAAGACTACATCCGAGTCAATTGAAGTCTTGTGTGATTCAATTTGAGAACAATATTGATTAAAAAGCTGAGCAAAATTGAAGTTACCTTTTGAAAAGGGTACATGAAATAGCATTAATTTAGGGCCTGCTTTTAGATCCATATAGCATCTAGTTCAGCTCCAGTTGCAAACACTAGTTTCGTAGGGTCCAGACGGCACAACAGGCCAGATCGAGGAAAGAGAAGATTGTCAAGTGTTTAGCGCCTGCCATTAGTGAGATGACTGTTGTGTTGGTCTCCCATTAGTCATCCCATTGAAAATATTTACGTCCACTGTCTCTCTTGGTCACATATGGGCTTCAGCTTATGAGCTCTTTCGTTAATTCAGTTCATGAAAGTTTTGAGATTAGAGCACTTTCAAAACCCCATCTTGACCATTTACTCCGACTGTCTCAGTGAGCTTAACCTGGTAAACCACTCCTCCTTCTGCTGGCTTTCTGTGCATGCATGAATTGCACCCAACTGCAGTGTGCAGCCCTGCATCCATCACTGTTTTGTTCCTGGGATGTATTGACATGGATATTTTTTGAGCAACGTGCTTTCTTCTTTCAGATTCTGTAATGAGAACAGTCCATGTCCATTACCAATTTTTTGGTCTTCATGGGGTCCTTGGAATAAATGTAGTGTGAATTGTGGTGGAGGGATTCATTCAAGGCAGAGGTCCTGTGAAAATGGAAATACATGTCCAGGCTGTGCTGTGGTATGTATTGTTTATTGACATTGTACAAGGGGCACCTATTGACATCTAGCACCTAGGGACTTGGTATTTAACTCCCCTCTCCATCTTGGTTTTATTTCTCAAGCTAAAAGAAAATTATGTCCTCAGCTTTCACTGGAGAGGATGCTGGAATGAACTGGGAAGCAGAGAGGTGACAGATTCCCAAAATCAATGAAGCTGATGTGAGAGTGTGTGTGTTAGTGTGTGTGTGTGCAAGCGTGCGCACGTAAGGACAGACTTGTGTACAGAGGACTTCCTTTAGGCCTCTGTTGGCTTAGATATCAAGTCCTTTACCTGAAAGCACTATGCTCCCAGGGATGATCGTGTTGACTCAAGGAGGCTCTACACGCATCAGAAATGAGTCTCACTATCATACCTGAGTAAATAACAGGTCAAACACCTAGTTAACCCATCAGTGAGGCAGTGGCTACCCATCTTCTCTCTTTATTTTCCCTTTCCTATTCTGGCAGCTGTTTCATGCATCTGCTTTAATTAGTTTTATGGAGAGTTTTCTTTCAGTGTAAGCAGATTTGATCTGGAACCTCCCATCTGTTCACAAGCTGTTTGGCATTTACTCTAGAAT